CATATGTTTAGGCCCGACATGAAAACATATGTTTTCGAACATATGGAAAACATATGAAAAACATATGTTGCAATTTTTCCTGTGTACATATCATGCCCGACTCTAAATAAAATTTACTTACTTACTTACTAACCTTCAACTAAAGTAAAAAATTAAGGAATGTTGAAGGGAGGCGAAACAATAAAGCCGTTACTATCAAATTCAAATAAATATTTGACTACACTGCCAAATTAAGGTAAACAAGTTATATAGTTTCCTTGAAACAAATGAGTCTTAAGGCACAACATAACAAATATTTCAGCGATTTCACAAAGATATTGTAAAAATTACCGTTAAGTGCCCAGCAAATGCATGCAACAGACCATTCACGAATGAACCAAAGGTTCGTGTGTCACTTCCAAAAATTTAAAATCTTGATTTTCTTCTTCTAACATTCTGCTTACCCTTACGAAGCACGCGAGATCACCTCCAGTTTTTGGCGGGGTTCGTATTGCTCAGTCTTAAGTTTTCTGTAAATTGTTTGTAGGATGTAGAACGTTGTTTGATTTTTTTTTCGTCGTTTTTCTTTATGGCCTGGTCTTGTCTGTTTTTCTTTGTTAATCAGATTAATTAGGAACTATGAGCAGGTAAAACATATTTTTTTGCCAGCTGGTGTTCCTATCAAGTTGCCTCATAGACTATGTCGTGTTTTCTAAATACTGCGAAATTTCATTGGACACCAGAGATCCACGAGCGCTGAAAGTATCATAATTACTGACAGTGTGAGACAGACATCAATGACCTGATGCATTAACAAAAGCAGCATCACCGACTGCATTTGACACCTCAGGATCTGGCGCACTAACATCATCATTGTTCTTTTTAAAAGCGTCTGACAATCATAGTGTTTCATATTTCATCTATGTGTTTGTCTTATCCGAGGGTTGTTTCAAATAATCATTAAGCCTCATTTATGATACAGTTTTTGATTTTAGCTCATTTATATGTTTTGGAGTTTAGTGTGACGTCTATTTTCACTGATCTAGCACACAATTTTATTTAGGGGCCAGCTGAGGACCACCTCCGGGTGCAGGATTTTCTCGCTGCATTGAAGACCCATTGATGGCCTTCGGCTGTTGTCTGCTCTTTGGTCAGGTTGTTGTCTCTTTGACATATTCCCCATTTCCATTCTCAATTTTATTTTATCGCTATGTATTCCAATCAGAATAAGCTCTGAAATTACACAACTTTTTTATGACGCACCAGCCAAGTTGAAGCTATCTGGGGCCCTTATGGAACAATGTATTGTGCATACAACTTTTTAAATGTTTAAATCATTATGACTTTAATTTGTGTTTCAAAAAATTGGATCATAATCAATCAAATTTCAAAATGTTCTAAATTTTTCCTCTCTCAGCTCAATACCGATGACCTTTATATTTTGCGACACTTAACACAAACAGGAAGTTGTCTAAGTGAGTTTTTGGATTGGACTAAATAACGATATGGTGTATTCAACTAGGCATCTATCTGTCTTCATATAGTCTAACCCTTTCATTGTGATCCAAGATATGCATATTTTATGTGGTCCATTTCAAGGTCCATTGTCTATAGAAAAACCACTCCAGTTTAAAAATGTATACACACAAAAATATAAAACGTTGATAGAACAACATCAATTAGTTATGAACCATCCATGGTCAACTTACCTTCGTTACAACTTAACTTAATCACATCCAATCATCAATCAACTTTTTATTTGTATTCACCTTTACAAATCCATTCCATATGCACAAACATTGTTCATGTTTTTTTTCTCTCGAAAAATTTCCCTTCTATCCTTAATTATAATGAAAAAGAGGTAAATGACCTTAATAATTTCCTTCCGTATTAAGTAAGAATACTGTGAGTATCATATTATAAAATGAAGAATAACTTAACGTGGTAAAAACCTAACAGGAGTTGCTATATATTTAAATACATTCCTCTCTCAAAAGTTTACAGTCTAGTTGGTCTCCATCACTTAATTTGACGCTCTAGCTTCAACACATGATATTGTGGAAACGTGATGCTTACCAATATACATGCATGCACAGCAGTTTCTGATCTAACAGTTGTGTAAGCAAACACCACGCGAAAAGTTATTATTCGAGTGGTTACCACTGTATATTCTTTGTGGCTGATACGTTTCTGTATCTCACTTCCTTCTATTGTTTAGTTAAGTTTAGTTTAGTTAGGTTAAATAACTTCTGTTCATTGATCAATTATGTCAATCAGCTAAATATAAGATAATTTTAGTTATAAAATCGTGTGTTGAAAATGTATCTGTTTTTTACTTACATTTTCTCTGCCTCGTTTTTGGGGATAGACGTCGATATAATGTGTGTGGATTAATAGCATTAGGGAAGAAAATATCCCAGTAAATGTCAATTCACGCAATCCTTTGTTATGTGCAGTCCTCTGTTTACATTTCAACGGATGACACGCATCAACAGGTCTAGTACAAATGTATACGTATAATTTAAATCATGGGTCAGTTCAAAGCATTAATTCAATTACAAACAAAAATAAAAAAAGAGGGGCGAAGGATAGCAAAAGGATACTCAAACTCATAAGTCAAAAACAAACTGACAATGCCATGGCGTAAAAAAATATGAAAAATACATAAAAAAACAAACAACAGTATACGAAACGCAACACTGAGCAACACGAACCCGCGGGGTGATTTTATGTGCTCGTGTTTAAATCATGAACAAGTATATACCACGGAGTATAAATACCGGACAGTGGTTGCGTATCGAAGGGAGAAAAAAGGAGGCCGAATATAATAAATTCAGAATCAATCGCCATTCTTTCCTGTTTTGTTGAATCAAATACTTCATTTGTTCTATGAAAATATTATTTTCCATATTTTGTTTTTACAATGAGTAGTGCCAAAACCTTTATTTAATATTTTTCTCTTTGTAAAAAAACTGTGACTTGTATAATTATGCAGATGACAATACCCTTTCAAAATCTGGTTCTTCTTTGGCATTAGTTATTAAATCCTTGGAGGAAGACAGCGGTTCACTAATTTCATGGTTCTCTCAAAAAAAAATGCGGCTAATCCAGAAAAATTTCAAGCCATACGATTGGTAGTAAAACACATAAAAACAACATAGTCTTCAACTTAAATGGAAACAACATCAAATGCGATGATGAAGTAAAACTACTTGGAGTAACCATTGATTTTAAGCTCGACTTTAACCAACACATATCTACATAGGAAAAATTGCAACATATGTTTTCATATGTTTAACATATGTTTTTCATATGTTTGAAAACATATGTAAACATATGTTTAGGCCCGACATGAAAACATATGTTTTCGAACATATGGAAAACATATGAAAAACATATGTTGCAATTTTTCCTGTGTACATATCATGCCCGACTCTAAATAAAATTTACTTACTTACTTACTAACCTTCAACTAAAGTAAAAAATTAAGGAATGTTGAAGGGAGGCGAAACAATAAAGCCGTTACTATCAAATTCAAATAAATATTTGACTACACTGCCAAATTAAGGTAAACAAGTTATATAGTTTCCTTGAAACAAATGAGTCTTAAGGCACAACATAACAAATATTTCAGCGATTTCACAAAGATATTGTAAAAATTACCGTTAAGTGCCCAGGAAATGCATGCAACAGACCATTCACGAATGAACCAAAGGTTCGTGTGTCACTTCCAAAAATTTAAAATCTTGATTTTCTTCTTCTAACATTCTGCTTACCCTTACGAAGCACGCGAGATCACCTCCAGTTTTTGGCGGGGTTCGTATTGCTCAGTCTTAAGTTTTCTGTAAATTGTTTGTAGGATGTAGAACGTTGTTTGATTTTTTTTTCGTCGTTTTTCTTTATGGCCTGGTCTTGTCTGTTTTTCTTTGTTAATCAGATTAATTAGGAACTATGAGCAGGTAAAACATATTTTTTTGCCAGCTGGTGTTCCTATCAAGTTGCCTCATAGACTATGTCGTGTTTTCTAAATACTGCGAAATTTCATTGGACACCAGAGATCCACGAGCGCTGAAAGTATCATAATTACTGACAGTGTGAGACAGACATCAATGACCTGATGCATTAACAAAAGCAGCATCACCGACTGCATTTGACACCTCAGGATCTGGCGCACTAACATCATCATTGTTCTTTTTAAAAGCGTCTGACAATCATAGTGTTTCATATTTCATCTATGTGTTTGTCTTATCCGAGGGTTGTTTCAAATAATCATTAAGCCTCATTTATGATACAGTTTTTGATTTTAGCTCATTTATATGTTTTGGAGTTTAGTGTGACGTCTATTTTCACTGATCTAGCACACAATTTTATTTAGGGGCCAGCTGAGGACCACCTCCGGGTGCAGGATTTTCTCGCTGCATTGAAGACCCATTGATGGCCTTCGGCTGTTGTCTGCTCTTTGGTCAGGTTGTTGTCTCTTTGACATATTCCCCATTTCCATTCTCAATTTTATTTTATCGCTATGTATTCCAATCAGAATAAGCTCTGAAATTACACAACTTTTTTATGACGCACCAGCCAAGTTGAAGCTATCTGGGGCCCTTATGGAACAATGTATTGTGCATACAACTTTTTAAATGTTTAAATCATTATGACTTTAATTTGTGTTTCAAAAAATTGGATCATAATCAATCAAATTTCAAAATGTTCTAAATTTTTCCTCTCTCAGCTCAATACCGATGACCTTTATATTTTGCGACACTTAACACAAACAGGAAGTTGTCTAAGTGAGTTTTTGGATTGGACTAAATAACGATATGGTGTATTCAACTAGGCATCTATCTGTCTTCATATAGTCTAACCCTTTCATTGTGATCCAAGATATGCATATTTTATGTGGTCCATTTCAAGGTCCATTGTCTATAGAAAAACCACTCCAGTTTAAAAATGTATACACACAAAAATATAAAACGTTGATAGAACAACATCAATTAGTTATGAACCATCCATGGTCAACTTACCTTCGTTACAACTTAACTTAATCACATCCAATCATCAATCAACTTTTTATTTGTATTCACCTTTACAAATCCATTCCATATGCACAAACATTGTTCATGTTTTTTTTCTCTCGAAAAATTTCCCTTCTATCCTTAATTATAATGAAAAAGAGGTAAATGACCTTAATAATTTCCTTCCGTATTAAGTAAGAATACTGTGAGTATCATATTATAAAATGAAGAATAACTTAACGTGGTAAAAACCTAACAGGAGTTGCTATATATTTAAATACATTCCTCTCTCAAAAGTTTACAGTCTAGTTGGTCTCCATCACTTAATTTGACGCTCTAGCTTCAACACATGATATTGTGGAAACGTGATGCTTACCAATATACATGCATGCACAGCAGTTTCTGATCTAACAGTTGTGTAAGCAAACACCACGCGAAAAGTTATTATTCGAGTGGTTACCACTGTATATTCTTTGTGGCTGATACGTTTCTGTATCTCACTTCCTTCTATTGTTTAGTTAAGTTTAGTTTAGTTAGGTTAAATAACTTCTGTTCATTGATCAATTATGTCAATCAGCTAAATATAAGATAATTTTAGTTATAAAATCGTGTGTTGAAAATGTATCTGTTTTTTACTTACATTTTCTCTGCCTCGTTTTTGGGGATAGACGTCGATATAATGTGTGTGGATTAATAGCATTAGGGAAGAAAATATCCCAGTAAATGTCAATTCACGCAATCCTTTGTTATGTGCAGTCCTCTGTTTACATTTCAACGGATGACACGCATCAACAGGTCTAGTACAAATGTATACGTATAATTTAAATCATGGGTCAGTTCAAAGCATTAATTCAATTACAAACAAAAATAAAAAAAGAGGGGCGAAGGATAGCAAAAGGATACTCAAACTCATAAGTCAAAAACAAACTGACAATGCCATGGCGTAAAAAAATATGAAAAATACATAAAAAAACAAACAACAGTATACGAAACGCAACACTGAGCAACACGAACCCGCGGGGTGATTTTATGTGCTCGTGTTTAAATCATGAACAAGTATATACCACGGAGTATAAATACCGGACAGTGGCTGCGTATCGAAGGGAGAAAAAAGGAGGCCGAATATAATAAATTCAGAATCAATCGCCATTCTTTCCTGTTTTGTTGAATCAAATACTTCATTTGTTCTATGAAAATATTATTTTCCATATTTTGTTTTTACAATGAGTAGTGCCAAAACCTTTATTTAATATTTTTCTCTTTGTAAAAAAACTGTGACTTGTATAATTATGCAGATGACAATACCCTTTCAAAATCTGGTTCTTCTTTGGCATTAGTTATTAAATCCTTGGAGGAAGACAGCGGTTCACTAATTTCATGGTTCTCTCAAAAAAAATGCGGCTAATCCAGAAAAATTTCAAGCCATACGATTGGTAGTAAAACACATAAAAACAACATAGTCTTCAACTTAAATGGAAACAACATCAAATGCGATGATGAAGTAAAACTACTTGGAGTAACCATTGATTTTAAGCTCGACTTTAACCAACACATATCTACATAGGAAAAATTGCAACATATGTTTTCATATGTTTAACATATGTTTTTCATATGTTTGAAAACATATGTAAACATATGTTTAGGCCCGACATGAAAACATATGTTTTCGAACATATGGAAAACATATGAAAAACATATGTTGCAATTTTTCCTGTGTACATATCATGCCCGACTCTAAATAAAATTTACTTACTTACTTACTAACCTTCAACTAAAGTAAAAAATTAAGGAATGTTGAAGGGAGGCGAAACAATAAAGCCGTTACTATCAAATTCAAATAAATATTTGACTACACTGCCAAATTAAGGTAAACAAGTTATATAGTTTCCTTGAAACAAATGAGTCTTAAGGCACAACATAACAAATATTTCAGCGATTTCACAAAGATATTGTAAAAATTACCGTTAAGTGCCCAGGAAATGCATGCAACAGACCATTCACGAATGAACCAAAGGTTCGTGTGTCACTTCCAAAAATTTAAAATCTTGATTTTCTTCTTCTAACATTCTGCTTACCCTTACGAAGCACGCGAGATCACCTCCAGTTTTTGGCGGGGTTCGTATTGCTCAGTCTTAAGTTTTCTGTAAATTGTTTGTAGGATGTAGAACGTTGTTTGATTTTTTTTTCGTCGTTTTTCTTTATGGCCTGGTCTTGTCTGTTTTTCTTTGTTAATCAGATTAATTAGGAACTATGAGCAGGTAAAACATATTTTTTTGCCAGCTGGTGTTCCTATCAAGTTGCCTCATAGACTATGTCGTGTTTTCTAAATACTGCGAAATTTCATTGGACACCAGAGATCCACGAGCGCTGAAAGTATCATAATTACTGACAGTGTGAGACAGACATCAATGACCTGATGCATTAACAAAAGCAGCATCACCGACTGCATTTGACACCTCAGGATCTGGCGCACTAACATCATCATTGTTCTTTTTAAAAGCGTCTGACAATCATAGTGTTTCATATTTCATCTATGTGTTTGTCTTATCCGAGGGTTGTTTCAAATAATCATTAAGCCTCATTTATGATACAGTTTTTGATTTTAGCTCATTTATATGTTTTGGAGTTTAGTGTGACGTCTATTTTCACTGATCTAGCACACAATTTTATTTAGGGGCCAGCTGAGGACCACCTCCGGGTGCAGGATTTTCTCGCTGCATTGAAGACCCATTGATGGCCTTCGGCTGTTGTCTGCTCTTTGGTCAGGTTGTTGTCTCTTTGACATATTCCCCATTTCCATTCTCAATTTTATTTTATCGCTATGTATTCCAATCAGAATAAGCTCTGAAATTACACAACTTTTTTATGACGCACCAGCCAAGTTGAAGCTATCTGGGGCCCTTATGGAACAATGTATTGTGCATACAACTTTTTAAATGTTTAAATCATTATGACTTTAATTTGTGTTTCAAAAAATTGGATCATAATCAATCAAATTTCAAAATGTTCTAAATTTTTCCTCTCTCAGCTCAATACCGATGACCTTTATATTTTGCGACACTTAACACAAACAGGAAGTTGTCTAAGTGAGTTTTTGGATTGGACTAAATAACGATATGGTGTATTCAACTAGGCATCTATCTGTCTTCATATAGTCTAACCCTTTCATTGTGATCCAAGATATGCATATTTTATGTGGTCCATTTCAAGGAGATTTTATCAAAATCTTTTTTTCAGATTGACTTATTTTACTAGTCGAGTGTGTAAAAAAAATTGCCGACGTTATAGATGTTCTGACTATATTTAAGGTCATATATCCCTTTTTGCCTTTGAATTATTGCTTGGGATGTCGTGTTCCCTTTTCAAGATATCAATACGGTCGAGCGCTTTATACGGAAGCCTTAATATGAACCTCATGTAATTGTATTTTGAAATGATAAAGTCTAGGTTGTATAACATTTATCCGGTCACTCCCCTCGTGGTTACATATGTAAAGGTACAACAAAGTCCACTTCTGTTTTTAAAATGGCCGACATGCTCTTTTACAGAACACCAACAAAGTAACTAAAGCCTGCGCCTGGTCTTGAGTAACTGCACGATAGCATTTCGTCAGAAATTCAGAAATATCCCTCTACGTTAGCGTGTTTCGTGCAAGATCTGTCCTATAGTGCTTTTATTGTTAAAAAGAAGATCTGTGCTATATGATCATATTATTTTGAGAGAACTCTTCAATATGTTATATTAAAATTTTATCTTTGGCAATTCATAATTTTACTATAAACAACTGCCAAAGACAATATTTTGATTTAACAAATAAAATATTTTGCAAACTATTTACGCGTCTCAAAGATAATGATTATATTGAAATATTTACTTGTTTCCAATATAGTTATAAGTTTGAAATATTTACTTCTTCCCAATAAAATGGTTAGCGATTGTCCAAAGCAGTAGCTACAGTATTCTTTTATATGATTGTGATCTGTTAAAATGTAATGAATCCAAAATTGTTTAAAAAAATTATTTTACTACATCATTGTACTTAACTAATACTAGATTAAAGAACGAGTTTACTTACTATATAGTCATTGTAAGTCTCATACGAAGTAAATGCTACATTCTCAATGGCAACTCATGGTATTCTATTTCTTTCCTAAACACCAATGATGACATTACTTCTGTAAAAATCATAATTACGACAAATTAGTAAATCAAATTACATTTCTAAGTTTACCCCTCTATAGGTTGCAATTCTGTAAATACAGACAATGCAATTTCCCATAGGAACTCCCTTTGCGGCTAAAACTGTGACACTTTTACTATGAAGTTTCGTGAAAAATAATATCCCAGAACGGAAAGTTTATATGCACTACTATTTTATTCAAAGGTCAAAATATAGGGCTGTGCGGCATATTTTCAACATTTATATGCCCTGAACTTCTAAGAGTTTAAACTTATACTAAAATTCTATACTACCCTTACCTCCATTTTTGGACCTCCTAAGAATTAAAATTTAGCCGCTACCATGTTTTTCTATACTGGTTACATTCCCAAGTGATGTCTCTATGAGATGAAACACAGAGATCATCAATGGGAACCAGTACGTTAACAAATTAACATACCTATGAATATTAAATATCTCCCCAAAAGAGGCGTGGTTTGAGAAACAGCTGCATTTACAAAGTGCAACCTATACAAACATTTATTCAAATAGAAAACTCTCTAAAAACACTTTTTCTCACAACAATACTTATTTATCAGAATTATAGCCTTAAAGAAATCACTGCATATACTCTAAGTCTCCTTTTACAGTACATTTTATACCCCTACCCCTGTTTCAATTTTTTAAAGATTTTGAAAACAAGACTCTAATTATTGCCAGCTTACCCTATGTGCATGTTTTCTGACATGAACTGTCTAAAACCTGTTTGAAACTATTCTGATAACAAATTGAAAGCATTTTAGAATACTATAAATGTATTGTTTAGTAGTTAAGCATTCCAACATTCAAGATTATACAAAGTATCCAATCCTGCCTGTGTCTCCAGTCCACATCTTACTGTATGCCTATTTGTCAATGAAAGTTCACAATTTCTGCCTCAAATGGTCAGTTTAGAATTCTTGTCACAACAGTATCATCCCTAACCATATATCTAACATAAGTTAGTGAATATATGTCCTAGAAGTGTTTAAACAAAGCCATATTTGC